GACGGGGGCAGAAAGGTGTGCGGAGTGGAGGGGGGGACGGGGGTGGAGGCGGCAGGAGTGAGCCTGGGAGGCTGGGGAAGGGCTTTCTGGGCAGGGGCACAGCACGTGCAAAGGCTCTGAGAGAAGAACGTGCCTGTCACTTCTGGCGAACGGCCAGGGGCCAGGTGTGGCGGCCTGGCACTCAGGAAGCTGAGGCAGGAGGGTTGCAAGTAACTTGGTGAGACCTGTCTCAAAATTAAAAACTAAAGGGCTGGGGATGCAGTTCAGCTGTAGGGCACCCCTGGGTCCTGTCCTCCTGAGGTGCACTGAGAGGAGGGGAAGAGAGGCAGCAGAGCCGCCGAGGTTCAGAGTGGTATAGAAGACTGGCCCACAGCCGCAGGGAGCAGGAGCGTGGGATGAAGCGGGGCTGGAGCTCTCTCAGACCCGGTGTGCCGGCCACAGGTGGCCCCACACGTCCCCCTCAGCCTCTCTGCTCCTGGGGCCGAGGGCACAGCAGGGACAGGGCCGGAGGTGTGCGGACGCAGAGGTCCTCTGCAGAGGACCGGGGGTGATGGTGCCTGGACTCAGTGCTGCCTCTGCCCGGCCAACAGGGCCGAGAACAGGACTCCTCCCTCCTGCCACGTGCCAGGGTGACAGGGACTGGGCAGTGAAGGGCAGCACCGCTGCCTGCGCCTTCCTCTGCTGCCCTCCAGGCAGCAAGCTCAAGCACCCTCCCAGGGTGGCCCTACCCCAACTCCCCTCCCGCCTCCTGGGTGCCTGTCAAACCGGGTCTCTCTGTTCTGGGTTCCAGGTGGGCTGCAGCAGGGCTGATCTGCGGGCCCAGGGCCGGGCGGCCTGGCCCATCTGCTGTCGTGTGCAGACGGGGACTCACCTGGTGACGCTGCAGTAGCAGGACAGGCAGACGAGTGCCACCACGAAGCAGGCGATGACCAGGCCCATCTTGAGCCGCTGCTCCAGGGGCTGCCCGTAGTCTGGAAGGGGGAACCATGAGCCCTCGCCCAGTTCAGGGAAGCGAGGCTGGGCGCTGCTCTCCCCACTCCCGCACTGTGCCCCAGGGCAGGATGCCCAGTGCCCAGAGCTGCTCGCTGTCAGCCAGCAGGGGCCGCTGCTCTCACTTCCCCGCTCGCCCTGCCTGAGCCCGGTGCCCCTCTGCACAAGGCTGGCAACTTGTCGGCCAGGCTCCCCAAGGACAGCGCGCTGCGCATGTGACGGCTCCTTTCCTGTGTGGACCATGACTGTCACCTCGTCCCCGCGGCCTCCGCCACTGTCCGCCCCCCACACGACCCTGCCTGCCTCACTTCCCCACCCGCACTTCCTGTCACCTGTATCCAGCTGGCTTCTTTCTAAGCCTGTCTTTCTGTCTCTGCCCTCCTCCAGAATGGCAGCTGGGCAGAGCGGACTTCTGATTCCCCGGTGTCTACCATAAATGACCGATAAATATTCACGAGTGTCCAGCACACCGTCTGTCCCACACGAGCACTTTCTCTTCTCCCCAGGCGGCCGCAGAATCCATCTGCCTGGCTGTCACAGGCCCTGTGCTGCCTGCAGGCCGGCAGCCTCAGTGCGCAGGGAGTGTTTCCACAGCCTGCACGCTGTGCTCTTGGGCTCTGTCCCCGTGCGGGGAGCTCTGCCAGGGCAGGCGAGGGGCTCAGCAGGAGGGGCAGTGCTGGCAGGGCCCGCAGGACTCACAGTTCTCCCAGGTGGCGCCGGGGCTCCATGCGCTCCAGGTGCTGCCGTCCAGCTGAGCCAGGGCCCGCACCCGTGCCGTGTAGGTGACCCCGGACGCCAGGTCTCGGGCTTCCAGGTGCAAGGTGGTCTCCTTGTAAGTCACGTTGTAGACTTTGACCTGGCAGGAAAGGGAGTCCTCAGTGCTCAGCCTGATGGTTGCCCTTGGCTGATCCCACGCTGTGCAAGAGCCAGCAGCCCGGGGATGGGGCTGCCCCCTTGGGCCACTGTCTGCCAGGCTGCAGGTGTGTCCGGCATGGACACAACTGCGTCAGCCCAGGGGCCCTTCCAGGCTCACTTCTCCGTCTGGCAAGCGAAGGTGAGGCCTCACGGCTGCTTTCTGGCGGTGTGGCCTTCAGTAAGGGACACGACCTCTTGACCTCAACTCCCCTTCTGCAAAATGGGGCCAAGGGCAGGGCCCTCCTGGGGCTGCTGGTCATGGGCACAGGGCTGGGTGCGCAGCAGCTCTCCAGAGGCCTTGTAGGGCCAGTGTATGTGCAGTTAGGTGGCATGGCCCGCTGGGAGCGCTCCAGGCCACAGGGCAGGCACCAGGGGTAGCAGTCCATCGACAGTCAGCAGGCTGCGAGGACCTGGACGCCCCAGGTCACAGGAGCTTAGAAGCAGTCGGGCTTCAAACAGTACTGCAGCCCTCCGGCCCTGCCTGCCCTGCCTGAGGTCCTCGGCCATGGAGGCTGAGGTGGCACTGTGTGGCTGCAAAACTGGTGGTGACGGCCCCGCAGACTCCCCCACTTGCTGCAGCCACCGCTGGCCACCAAGCCCCCTGCCCACCAACCTACCCTCCACCCCTGGCACAGGTGACCCAGCGCCCAACATCTGGCTGGAGGACCACAGGCTGTGTTCTTACGCACCATAGGAATTTTGTGCTTTAAGTAAATATTGCTTTTACCCCAAGCAAAGTTTAGAAAGGGAGGATGGAGATAAACATCTGATTCTGACTTAGGGAGAGGCCACTGTCTTGCCAGCCCCTCCCACAGGTTCAGCCTGGGCAGCTCTGTCCCGCAGGCCTGGCCACGGCTTCCGGCAGAGGGAGAGCCTGGGCACAGGCAGGAAGTCACAGCAGGGGAGGGGAGGCCCAGGGTCAAGGGGCAGAAGGCAGCAGTGAGTGAGAAGCCACAGCCTGGTCGCCATTTCCAGGCAAGGAGCAGTGTGCTGCGATGTTTCACAAGGAAAGACAACAGAACTGCAGCTTCTGAGGAACTGTTTGCTCATGAGTGTTCAAGAGAAGGTAGGCAATCAGGCCCAGGTTTGAATCCTAGCCCTGCAGCTCTGGGGGTGGGACCCTAGGCAGGGTGTGGCAGCCCTCAGACACAAAAGAAAAAGTAAACACTGCTTTGGTGAGAATCGCACTATGGCCCCAGTCTGACTCCAGCCCTGGTTTCTGCTTCTTCACTACATACTCCTATACCCCAGATTCAATAGATTCATAAACCTCAGATATTCCATCAATGAAAAAAAAATTCCAAACCTTTTCTCGTGGAGTTCCCTCTGCCTTCTTTTCCTTCCCTAGCTAGAACACTCCTACGTATCCTTCAACACCCAGGCCAAAACTCCCTCTCCATTATGGAGCCTTGCCTAGAAATCATTCTGGCAAATGAGTGAGTATATACCCAAATTCCACAGCAAATCCCACCAAATCTGAGCCGCAGCTGGAATATGCCAAAAGCAGACACAGCTGGAAACCAGCTTGGCTTCTATGCCACTTAGTTTGTGTTCTACTCATGAGGAGGAACCCCAGCTCCAGGGTTGATCCCCATCCCTGGGGATTGATCCACATCCCTAGCCTGTGATTGGTTACGAAGGAGCATGTGACCAGCTCAGACACGAGAAGGAATTCTTTAGGTTCAGCTCTGTGGTTGGAAGAGCGACAAGGGTAGTAGGTCTCAGTAGCTTTTGCCCACCAATGGAAGAAGCTGAACTTCACCTCTTTTTCAACCCCGGCCAATCAAAGCAGTCCGCCAGCACTTGCTCCTTCCTGTGGCATGGAATTTAAAGTGGGCTCAGCAGCACCAGCTAGGACTTAGGGGGAAGAGAAAACTGGCTTCCCTTTCTTTGCCAGGGAGCGCATTGGCCATTACATGAAGGAAGAGTCTGCCTAAAAATGAAGCCACAAAGCTCATGTAAATAAGGAGAGGAGGAGGAGCTGGGAGAGAGGGGATGGGAAAAAAGAAGCCAGAGATATCATGTCCAGGTACAAATTCCCTATGACAAATGTGATCATTATCTTAACCTAAAATGTCCTAATAAACTTAATTATTTAAAAAATGAAGGCAACACAGACTAAAACAGGGCCAAGAAGTAAACAGATGCCCCATGGTGGTGCACACCTCTAACCCAGCACGCCGGGAGGTAGAGGCAAGAGAATGGCAAGTTTGAGCTCAGCCTGGACAGAGCCTGTCTCTAAAATAAAATAAATAAAATAATAAAATAAAATAAAAGGCCAGGGCGGCTCAGCGCGAAGGCCTCTCCTCGCCCGTGATGTGGAGTGATCTTCCACTTTGGGACTCAGGTTACAGAAGGTGTGGCCAGAGTGCCACCTACAGCCTCACATGTCCCCCTGTAGCAGTGCGGCCATGTTCAGTGCACCCTGGGAATCAGGCGGGAGCAGGAGGGCACTGCCTGTGGCAGGCCGGGAGGAGCAGGCCGGCTGTCCATCTTGCTGCCCGGCCGGGCCACCTCCTGGGGTCAGGCTCAGCCTACCCACCCGCTTCCCACGGCCCACTCACATGCTCTGGCTGGCTCTCGCTGGCGACGTGGACCTGGTAGGTGAGCCTGTTGTGCAGGTAGTTCCAGGGCGGGTACAGGTTGCTCCATGACAGCAGCCACCCGCTGGAGACATTGGTGCTGAGCGTGAGGTTCACCGGGGCCCTGGCCTTCACTGCGGGGAGAAGTGCGGTGTGAGGGGCGGTGCGGGGCCGCCCAGCAGGCGCGGACACCGCGGGGCTGGATTCGAGCCTTCTCCCAAACGGGAGGCTGGCAGGGCGCCGCGTGAGGCCCCTCCCGACACTGCGTTGCCATGGGCCACAGCGCATTCAGAGGCCGCACTGGCTGCCTGGGCAGGAAGGCCAAGTGCGTGGGCCACGGCCACCCGGTCAGCTGTGCCCCTGCCTCCGCGTGGCCAGCGCTCACACTGCACGGTGACTGCCTCAGTATTGTGTGCGTCTGCATTTTCCCGCTTCAACCTCTAGTGTCTTTCCAAGCGTCACATCCCTGAGCTCACAAGCACAGAATATGCATTAAAATTGACTTTCAAGGAGAAATCTTAGTCCTAGTTTTTGTGATGCTGGGACTGAACCCAGGGTCTTGTGCGTGCTGGGCAAGTTCTTGACCCCTGGGCCCCAGAAGCTGAACATTATTTTAAGATGTGTGCACGATTAAGGTGCTATATCTGTGGATACCATTCCTGCAAGATGAGTGAATGTGTCACCAACGTAAGACGATAGCATTTTGTTCCCCAAGGAAGCCAACTGGAAATGTAAAGTAAAATGCACTCCGGGGTCAGTTCAGGTGGCCGCCTCCGGGAGGGACGCCACGCCCCATGAGGCAGCCTGGGCCTCCTTCCGCTGCTGCCCAGCTCTGGCACGGCGGAAAGCGGCTCACTTGCTTTCTCTGAGCGCCAGGTTATTCAACTGCAAGAGAGGGCTAACAGCTGTCTTTGGAAATGCAGGCTGAGAGGTGAGAGTTGGCCTCGGTCCCACAGCTCCTGCTTTCCCTTCCTGTCTCACACACACCGAGCAAGGTCACCCAGGCGTGGCTGTGGGGCCGCGGTCGCCCTCCTCAGTCGCTGCTGGAGCAGGGGCCAGTGGCCTCCGGGGCAGGGGGGTGCTCGTGGGCGCCTTCCCGGACCCGGAAATCCAGGGGCTCAAGACAGCAGCTGAAGGGGACCGAGTGTGTGCCAGCCCCACCCCGAGTTGGGGGACGGAGCCCAGGGGAGGGCCCGGCTCCCTGCCCGCGTCCGCACCGGCCTCACCGTGCTGGCTGGGCGTGAAGTTGTATCTCCACAGCAGCTGCCTCCCGGCCCACAGGTCCAGCTGGTAGGTGTCACTGGTGACCAGGTTCTCCAGGCCCATGTGACACACGCATGCCGCAGCGGCACTGTTCTCGGGGACACAGACGTGGCTTCTGCAAACACGGTGAGGCGGCTGGTCACGTACAGCCTGGCTGTGACTGTGGTCTCCCCTAGATGGGCCTTCCGACTGTGCCCCCACCCCGATTTCAGGGCCAGAGCGGCCAGGGCGGGGGTGGGGGCAGAGCACCACTTCCTTCCTTGCGACACAGCCCCTTCCAGCCCCAGCACGGACCCGTCTCATCTCCCCCAGCTGCAGGCCTAGCTCATTCCTGCAAGTCCTCAGAGGCAAAAAGCTGTGCGCCAGTCATCTGTGACGCACGTCCCGGTGCCCTGTGTGGACGGTTGGTCCTGTGCACAGTGGGCAGCACCCCCAGAGGCACATGCCAGGCCAGCATGCCCCTCGTGTCAGCCCCAGGTTCACAGGGGAGGCTAGTGCCAGTGGCTGATTTCTGTAAAGACCAGGAGGTCAGTATTTCAGGCTCTGAGGGCCGTCCAGTTTTTGTCACAACTTCTTGGCTCTGCTGACACAGCACAGGAAGGAGCGTGGCTATGTACTAATAAAACTTTACTTACAAAAACAGTAGCAGGCCAGATTCAGCCGGAGGGCCACTGTGTCTGTACCTGGTGACCTTAAGGCATGGGTGTCATCCTTCAGAGAACTGGATGCATGGTGCCCTGGGAGCCCAACAGGCCCTGGAACCGTACAGCCTGACACCGAGCTGCCTGCCCGCATCCCCAGGACTCCTCCCCATGAAAACCCGCCCCCAGTGGGTCCCCTCCTGGCCCCTCAATGGCCCCGCCAGAGTCAGGGGTCACTGGGTCAAACTATTTCCATAGTTACACCAGCTTCTCTCACTCTTGACTCCAGAAGGCCGGAGTCCTCCAGTGGCCACGTGACACGGGACAGCTGGCTCGGAGGGCTTGCTAATGCATCCCATGTGTTGCCGCTGAACGAGACCTAACGGGACGTGCGGTGGACGCATGCATGCTGCCAGGGGAAGCTTCTTAGGTCTAGCTCCTGTGAGCCTTTCCGCGGGCCCAGAGGCCGTGGGGTTTGAGACTGCGGGTCCTGGGCCCTGATCCGGCCAGAGCCACCACCACACATGCGGTGACAGCTCTCTGCAATGCCCCCACTGTGCTCTACACGCATGTCCAGGGAGGACCCCGTGACCCCCGCCCGGGCTCACTCTTCATAGGGATCCGGGTTGAACAGGAGCTGGTAGAACAGGTGGAGTGTTGCTCTGCATTCCAGGGCCTGGTCCAGCTGCCATTCGCAGGTAGACAGGCTGAGGTAATCTGAGAAGCAGGTGGGCTTCTGCAGGACCTTGAGGCTCCCTGTGGGGACAGGGGACCACCTGAATGGCCAGGAACACAGCCAGCAGACGTGGGATTGCTCAGGGGGCCGGGAACTCACTCAGGAGCATCTGCACGACCCAGGGGTGGGAAACTGGTCCACGCAGGGCTGGTGAGGCAGGGGTCAGGGGAGATGGTGGGGAGGACCTGGCAGGGTGCAGGGCCCACAGGGCAGTGGGTCAAATGCCCTTCTTCCAAGCCAAGAGGGAAGGTGTGAATGGCCCTGCCTGCCCAGGCCCAGCTGGTGCTGTGCGGGAAGGTATCCGCCTGCCTGCCCCTCCCTGCGCCCCTCTCTGTGCTGAGCCCCCTGGCTCCTGGGGGTTGGGGCGAATGGAACAAGGACGGGGTGGTGGGAGGAGCGGCCTGCTGAGCGCTCTGGACCCCTGCTGGCCCCAGGGCACAGTGAGTGGGTAGAGGGCTTCCAGCCACACGGAGGTCTGCACCCACCCCTCCAAACTCATCTCAGAAGTGACATCCGCGTTTCCCCCGGGGCTTGAGCCAGAAGTCTTGGGGCATCTTGACTCCTCCTCCCCCGCTGCAGCCCAACTCCGATCAGATCCGCCTGCCAGATGGCCCCAGACACTGCACCTCTGGCCCACCCCGGCCTGCAGGCCCCTGCTCCTTCTCCACTGCAGCAGCTGCTCCTGGGCTCAGATCTGGACCTGTGGCCCTGGGCCTTCGCTGCCCCTGAAAGCCTCACTCCTCTCTCCATCTCCCCGGGCCTGGTCGGCGCTTGGCCATGCCTCTGCAGACTGCGCTGTTCCCGTGTCTGCACAGCCCACATCCCTACCGGCTGGCTCCCTGCTGGCCCCGGGCTGCCCAGCTTCCTCACTCCGCTCTTGTGTGACTCTTTCTGTTGCCTTCAGTGACCTTTAGACCTGGACTCAGTGTCTTTGCGCATAGAACCAGCTGGATTTTCAACCTGAATGGGTGCTGTGGCCGGGATCCTGTGTCACCGGCCAGCCCTTCCCTGTGCGGTGTCCTCTCCTACAAGGCCAGGAGGTCTGTCTTGCTCACCGGTGCCCAGGGTCTAGGCGAGCAGGGGTCACGGATGCTGCAGAGGGGCCACTTACCACAGCCGGCCACCCACACCAGCGCCAGGCAGCTCACAGGGAACGGGAGGCCAGAGCGAAGCCACCCCATGGGGAGACGCTGGCGCCTGCAGAGGGGAGAAGGAAGCGGTCAGCGGGCCCTGGTGGAGGCACTGTCTCCACGGTCCCACAATCCGGTCCTGGACACCACAGGAGCCGAGCCCAGACCTCTCCATGCCTGTCTTGCGTCCCTCTAGCGTCCACCACACCTGCTCCACCACCCAGCTGGCAGCGCCCAGCAAGCTGCACTCTGGTGCCTCAGTTCCCTTGTCCACCGAGGGCTGTCTGGGCCTTACAGTGCCCCGGACGTGGCGAAGGCTCAGGGAGGCCCCCGTCCGTTGTCTCAGTCCACAGGGCCACATGACAAGCACATCCTGGGGCCATCGGGGCCGGGAGAAAGGGCCGGCTCTGGCCTGCAGACTCTGCCTCACGGTGGCACTTGCCGCATCCACACACAAGAGGGCAGACAGCTCCCCAGCGCTTCCGTAGGACACCCGTCTGGGCATGAGGGCACCAAGCCACTCCCCGGAGCCCCATGGTTCCAAATTAGCAAAGGGATTCAGTTTTGGTACATGGCACTCACACCACCCTGCTCCCAGGAAAGATGCCTGGAGGCCCAGAACAGACAGCCTGCCCAGCACACCCAGGGTTTGAACCCCTGTACTTCAGAGAGGGAGGGACGGGGGAGAGGCACGGAGGGGAGGAAGGGGCACTCATCAATGGCAACCCTTGTGGCTAAATCCCAGGACTCTTAAATGCAGCGGACCAAGAAGCCAGGGACGGGAAGCTCCGCTCTGAAAAGCTCTACAATCCTTACTTAACTAATGGGTCAAAATGCAGAGGGTTTTAGCCTGGGGCAGGGACACCAGTGCACGTGCCTTCTCCTGGTGGCCAGGGGCAACAGCAGCCAGAGCAGGGCAGGGGATGTTGCAGCTTTCTGAGCCCCATGCTCCCAGGGCGGTCTGAGGGGACTGGTCTGCCGTGTCCCAGAGCACCCAGCACAGGGGCAGGGACAGGAGGAACGACCAGGCTGCCACCCAGAGCCAGGGCTGCCAGGCGTCCCTCAGCCATGGTGCCCACAGCACATGCAGCAGAGGGGCGAAGGCGCCCTTGGCTCTGCCGACTCTGGGGTGCCCATCCCTGGCACAGTGAGACAGACTCTGGCTGTGAAGTCCTCCAAAGGGGTGTGGGTGGCCAAGCAACCCAGTCAGGCCCAGTTAAAACATCACCCCTGAGCCCGTTTAGAACTCCGGTAACTCAGAAGAAGGCTGAGGCAGGAGGACCGAAAGCTCGAGGACACTGTCTCAATAGAAAAATAGTAAGAGGCCTCTTTGTTCACTTAAACACGAGCATCCACCATATGCCAAGTTTCTTCTACTTAGTGCTCATCTATCAGCTCTCCCACTACTCACAACAGCCTTGGACAGCGGGAACCACCACTGCCTCATTTTCAGAGGAGGGAACCAAGGCACAGAGGGTGCACTGTTCACCTGAGGTCACACAGCCGTAGCAGGCTCAGGATTTGAACCCAGCCCTCAGCTCCAGAACCTGGTCTCTCACCCACTCAGTGCCTAAAGTGCAAAGCCCCTTGTGCTCTGGGGTCACCCCTCTGCACATGTGCCCTAACCCAAGCCCTCTTCCTAGCAATACACACACATTTAATGTCACACTATTTCTTAGGGTTCCAGGGTTTCCCAGAGCCCAAGCCCAGACTCTGGATCAATGGCCTCCCCTCCGGTGAGCTACTGAGGGTCTCTGAGCAGAAGAGTGGCCAGATTTTTCAAAAGCACATTTTGAGCCGGGTATGGTGGTGCACGCCTGTGATCCCAGCACTCATGAGGCTGAGGCAGGAGGATCTCTATGAGTTTGAGGCCAGCCTGGGCTACAAAGCAAGACCCTGTCTCAAAAAACCAAACAAACCAAAGCTGTGAGGCTGAGACATATCGGGTGGGGTCAGAAGTGGTTACCTATGTGTCCTCTGGCTTCTCAGTGAGAAACAAGGCCAGGCCCTGCCTGCTCACGTCCATGGGCTCTGACCTCATCTAGCTCTGTCACCGGACGCCACAGCTCCTCAGGTGCACATGCAACCAGCCCCAGAGAGGAGGGCATGAGTGGAGGACCGTTCTCGAGACCATACAAGTATGGAAGTGGAAACCTAGCTGCTGGGTTACAGGAGGCAGAGGCAGGAAGGGGCTCGCACGCGGCTCTGAAAGGGTACAGGAGCCTTGTGACGCCAGCGGCTCTGTGGCTCGGCTGGGGCACTGCCCAAGGAGACCCTGCACAGAGCCGAGCACCGGCGCCACGTCCACCGGGGCCGGAACAAGGTCCCGGAGACACACGGAAGCTGGCGCGCGGTCACTGCGCTACCCGTGGTAAGGAGGCGCCGCCGGGAGCCGGGCGGGCTGTGT